ATGTAAGGTCGAGCGTTCAGGAAAATCGTAGTTTATACTATATAGGCCTAGGTAGTAAAAAATTGCCAAGGCTGCCGACCTCGGAGAATTTAAGGTCGGCAAATTTTTGCCGACCTAATTTTTTCCAATTTTCATGGGCTGCTTCAGTTTGTATTGCGCGTTAAGGGTCGTCCATTTCTTTCATCATTTTCAAGAGAGAACTATAGAAAGTGCTCTCGTTTAATTATCTCCTTCCTGGGGCTCAGTCTTAAATATTTCTATACGGGGAGGTGCCGCATTTATGGGGTATATTTTCGAGGACTTGTAGGACAAGTGTGGGAAATATGGGGAGTTGCAGCATCTATGCGGTATACTTGCGAGGACTTTGTAGCACAGGTGTGGGAAATAACCGGGGTGAATTTGGTAGTTAAAATCCCTGGCATATCTTGGCGTGTCAAATGACAAGATTTTCCGCACGATGTTACCAGGAAAATCAAGCTTAACTGGGTGCTAAGCTGGTAAGCCCCTTGCTAAGACTACCTTTGGCATAGACTCAAGATCGCGACCAGACTTTTTGCCATCCGGAAGCAGTCAGTATTGCGCCCTCCCTGGCACTATTGGGTGGCATTTTTTCTGTCGTCTTTAGAGCCCAATGCGATTTTGGTAATGGTAGTTCATGTCCATAAGAATTGTCAGTAAAATAGGTAGCGCATGTGTCTCATGTCGTGAAGTGGCTGCGGCACCCCCTGTTAGATTTGTATGCAAGTGAGCTCCCCAGGGATTTCCTACCTTCCCCTGAATGTTGTGCAGGAAAAAAACTTAGTGTTGTGTTGCCCAAGCCTAAGCGACCTAAAATCTTGAAAGTCTACAGTCAGCTCTTTAGACAAAAATTGTTAATATTAAAAGCCCAAATATTCCACTTTCAAAAATTTTTTTTTTTAATGTGACACATATATTCACATCCAATCCAAACTTAAATTTACAATCTGAAATCACTGATTTTATCTGTTAGGCCAAATAAAAAAAGTTATTTTGTTTGCCACACCAAACCGACCCAAAATGTACGAAATTGAGGTTCTGCATTTTATTTATTTATTTATTTATTTTTTGGACTACAATGAAAATTATTTTTTTTTAATGAGCTAAAAAGACTGGAATAAGACTAACTTGCTAGATAGTAGGTGATTTGACAGTGTTATGCGATTGTTTTGCCTTTAAATACTGATTTTAAAATGGTCTTTGTTCTATTTTTGTGTATTTTCTACTTTTTAGGCATAAACACATTTATGGGGGTGGAGGAATTTTCCTAACGACCTATATATTTTTTGGATTTCCCTAAAACGTGGCCAACACAAGAATTTTTTATTTTTTTTTGGCCTTACAATTCCAACTAAATTGTATGGGTTAAGTGAATGTAGGTAAGAATGGCCCCGGAAAAAATAGCCCAGGAAAAAATGGCCCCAGTAAAAATGGCCCCAAATGACAAGTAGGTAAAACTGGCCCCAATGAAAAAATTCAGTAATAGAAATGATATTTTTTTTTTAAATCTTTAAATATTTTAATACTGTAATAAGCAAGAATTGAATCATACAGTTACACAACAGATGCAAATAATGTACTGAGAGATTATCAAAAACAACGGCCATTGAACATTTTTTGATAGTTGAAATAAGTTTTAAAAACGTTCACTAACGAAGTAGAGGAATGACATACATACAGTACTTCAGCTACCAAAATATGCAACTCATAGATAACCAAAAAATTCACTTTTGTTAAGTATCAAATGAAATAACTTTACATGTTATAAACAGTGCAAATAAACAGTAATTAAAGCATGTGGATCAATTGTGTGTTTGAATGACAAGTTCATGTATGGGAAAAGGGAGGCTTACTTTACTTCAGCAAATGTTCTGCTTAGAGTTACTTCAAAGAAGTATTTGTTA